GATACAGTGGTCCCTGCTGAGTGAGGGGAAACAGTTACTTGATAGATACAGTGGTCCCTGCTGAGTGAGGGGAAACAGGAGTTGATACAACGGTCTTTGCTGAGTGAGGAGAAAGGCCACCGATGTCTCATGCAGGTAAGCGAGCTCACTGAGTGCAGTGAGCTACCATCAATGCCGCACACGAGCAGGTGAGTGATGCTCGTTCGCTAAGTGAGGACATAGGCACCCTCCGTGAGAGTCAGTGAGCGACAGTCACTATATGTGGAAGGGCATGGTCAGTCCTCACGCAATACAGCAGATGGGAAGAACACAAGCTCCCGAGACACGCCCTTGCCGCACAGGACAGGACAAACGGGAAGTCCTAGTAGTCCTTCGCATGGCTTTTCTAGGCAAGCGTTTGCCAAGTCCATGCATCCTCAGAGGACTGCTGGGCCCGTCGCTTTCTCCGGACGATGAGTACTCACCGGTTTTTTGGAGTCCTCCACCTCCCGGATGCTCAGGTTCTCCAAAGGGATGATCCCCCGGGGCTCCTTATCCTGCAGATAGGAGAGAAGAGAGGGGGGCTGTCAGGACCCCCTGCCACACTCTAATGGGAGACCAGGCTCAGGACAGCGACCAGCATCCTCCATCTCCATCAGCAACAGCTCCTGGCCACGTGGGAGCTCAGGAGATTCCATAACCACCTTGAGAGTGTGTCTACGACAGCCGGTGGCATCTCCAGGAAGCAGACAGCTGCCTGCACCTACAAGGGCCTTATGTCTTGGCCAGGCTTGCCACATCTCCCAGGCCTCAGTCCTGCTGGAAAGACAGTCTCTGCTGCCTGTAGCAGGTGGTCAGACCCTGCCTACCTGGACAAAGCTCCAGGAGATACTTCCTCCTGGATCACACCCTCAATGCATTGACCCCACATGGTCCTGCTCCGGGGTCTCCACCTGCCCCAGTCTGCCTCCATCCCTACCCCACAGTCCTTTTTCCACTGCTAGGGCTGGGGTCCATCGGGTTGTCCTGTGGCCGGCACGCCCCACCCGTCTTCCAGCCTCATGCCCTCACTGCTCATGATCGGAGTTCCTGACATCTCCCTGAGAGGACCTGCTCCTCCCCGGAATGCCGGAGCTCGCCCTGGGCAGGCTGTCTGCGGGCTGAGCTTCCTAGGGCGCTCTCCTGCGCTATGCAGGTGGTTTGAGGCCATCGGGCCCCGTCTTCCTATCCTGTACAGGCAAAGGATCCCATGTCACACACAGCACAGCCCTGGGAGGCAATGACTCTGGGGGCCACCTCGGCCTCCCCCAGGACGGGTCCGAGGCTGTGCCCCTCACCCTCCCTGCCCTCCAGACACCATTCTCTGGGAGAGGGAGCAGAGTTTCCACTTACCGATCAATAAACAAAGAGACTATCAACCCAAACACCCTCCCGTCTGTCCCTCTTCCTTTGTCCCCTCACCCCACTCTCTGTGCACCAGCCCCTCACCCCAACAGCCAGTTCTGGTGGCCGTGCCCTCGCCCTGCGGGGCTCACCGTGGTGTACTCGAAGTAGTACAGGCAGTTGTCCGTCAGGATGAACCAGCGCCGCTTCCAGGTCCTCACCCGGCCCCCTGCAGAGCAAGAGGAGCGCAGTCGCCAGGGTGCCGCCCACACCACCCAGGCGAGCCGGAGGCAGGGGCAGGGCCATGGCGGACGACAGGGCATGAGACACAGAGCCGAGGCAGAAGCGTCTTTATGGATGAGCGGAGCAAGCAGTCGATGACACTGGGGGATGGAGCCAGAGTGCAGGGCAGGGCCCCGGGGGTGCTGATGGCCCACCATGGGAACAAATGGCTGTGGCTGCAGAATCGGCAGCAGGAAGCCTGACTGTGTGGTGGCCAGTGGCAGAGGGGGCAGGGTGGTGGGAAGGGGAAGACAGGCAGGGGCTGGCCCAATCCCTTTCTGGCAAATCCCGTCTTCCTGGAGCCTGGTACTCACCCTCCTGAGGCCCTGCCCGCAGCCTCCCTGCGGCATCAAGGTGAAATCTCTCACTGACCTTTCAGCGGTCTGAGAGCAGAGCACCCCCCCACCCTGGCCCCCAGTGCTGGAGGAGGACCTCAGCCAGGGAGGCCTCAGGAACTCAGACAACTTGACCAGGGGCCCAGCAGCCCTGGGTGGACCCCACCTGTGTTTCTCAACAGAAATGCTGGTGCCCGACAGGAGCCTCGCCTGAGCCACCCAGGTCCTCCCTGAGAAGGGGCCCTGTCTGCACATGAGCCTAGTCTGCCCTGCTGGGTTTGTGTGCTGGAGTGAGTCTCCTGGTGCTGGCCGTGGTGTGTCCTGCAGCCCTGGCTGCCCAAGTGGGGCCCAGGTGAGGTGAGCCCTCACCTCCAGGGGCATGGCTTTGAGAGGAGAGGGTGGCCAGGTCTCAGTGACACCAGCCCCATCATCATAAGCACCTCAACAGGGTGGGGGGTTTCCAGGGCATGCCCATGTGCTCACACCAGAGGAAGCTACATGGTGGGGCTGTGGAGCACTGGGGGGTGGGGGGGGTGGAGGGTGGGCGCTGCTCAGCTCTAGGGAGGAAGTCTGAGCCACAGCTGTCCAGGTCAGGATAGGGGGGTTTGCATAAGCAAGCCCTTGTCTAGCCCACCCTACACCAGCTCCAAAGCACAGGAAGCCCCTCCACCCTCATGACTCTGACTTCAGTGTGACACCCCCACCCCCACCACCCCCGCCCTGGTCCCTGTAGGACACCGGGCATGAGACTAAGAAAAAAGCAAGAGAGGGACAAGAAGACACATGTGTAGGGGTGGGAATGAATGGGAGAAGGAGGCACAGGGAGAACCCAAAATCGGGCGGTGTGCTCTGAGGCAGGGACTGCCTCCTCCCGGCCAGATAACTGGATGGGCGTGGGTTTGCTGTTTCCTGGGCTCAGCACGCAGGGAGACACACCAACTCACGCTGGTCCCCATTCACCTCCATCACAGGCTACCCCACCCCAGCCCTGGTGGAGGGACCCAGGAGAGAGCAGAGCTGGGGGTTCCTCTAAGGACAAAGCTGGCTGTCCCTGGCCCTCGGCCGAGGGAACCCTGCAGGTGGAAGTAGACAGACACGAGCAAGCAGACAGAGCAATGCGCACCTGCACAGTCCCTGTGGAAGGCTCAGCCCCTGGCTGCCCCGTGCCCATCCCCAGTCTAGGGCGAGCCCCCACGACACTCTGATAGTGGGGCTCAGGGCAGAGCCCCAGCAGGCCCGAGCCTGCTTCCTGACAGAGGGCAAATGACGCACTGTGCCCACCCAGAGTGGAGGGCCTGTGTGGCTCTTGTGGGGACTCCCCAGGAAAGAGGAGCCCAAACTGAACCTAAACAGAGATGGCAGAGTGAAAGCACCCCACCCCCGCCAGGGTGCCCCTGGAGCTGAGGAGACACCTGGCCCACTGGCTGCCGAAGCCTTGCTTGGACCCCGGGCCTTCGTCTCCATCTGTTTTCTGCGCGTGGTCTGTTAGAAGCATGCAAGTGGCCCTAGGAAATCGAAGGATTCTCCCTGCCCCTCCTTCCTGGCTGGACTCCACATGCGGAGCACAGACGTCCCTGTGATCCAACCAAGATGCCGCGCCCTGGCCAGGTTCCCTGCAGATGTGCTCTCGGTCCTCAGCAGCCCGTCTGACTGCACACCCTCCCACCGCCCTAAGCGCCCCCCCCAGCCCTTAGAGCCTGGCTACCGGACAACAAGAGGCTAGCCCTGCAGGATGAGCCCGACCCGCCGGTTCCCTAGGGACTGTACAATAAGTTAGAAGCAGCAGTAACACTACCACCAGCAATTTAAAAATCAGAACAGAAAGAACACAACATAACCGGGACAACAGACTCAGAAAGGCTGCGGCGAGTTCGGGGCCTGGGCAGAGCGGCGGGCGGGGCCCGGGGTTACATACCTCCTGGAGTTTGGGGCAAGGAAAGGAGAGCCCAAATCATGGAAACATACAAATGAGGGAGAAAAGAAAATTAAAACAAATGAATTGACTCAGCTCCTTCATCGCGCGGTGCACACCTCAGTCACCCGCACGCCTGCTTCAGGCAATGCCGACAGCCAGAAATGAGGCCCAGGAACCATGGGGCGGCCGCAGGGGCCACACCTGCTGGGTCTGGGTCAGGGCTGGAACCCCACAATTCTACACACCCCCGCTCACACAGCTGATGGTGACCGCTATGCCCTGAGTCACTGACGGGGCAGGATGGTCTCTTGAAAGTGTGTGTGATGACTCAGACACACCGGCCTGGCCCGTGTACCAGGCACACATGGGTCTACAGAGGACAGACTCTCGGGGACAGGCACACACACAGACATGTTCACACTAGGGAAGGTGGAGGTGCTCACTCGGAGGGAGCTGAGAAGAAGGGCTGTGAGGACCGCACCACGTCCATGGGCCCAGGTGGAGCTACAGTCTAGGCTCTCCCTGGTGCAGGCTCAGGGCCATCTTTTGGAGTGTTGGGCACTGGGGGAACATGCCAGTGTCTCCTGCAGGGCCCGCCTGCTTGGCAGTGTGGAGGCAGAGCCTTGGGAATCAGTCAGTGTAGAGCTGTCCCTTCGACGGTTCCCCTGGCTTAGAAATCTAAGGCTAGCCAGGCCGAGCGACATGCACAACCCTGGCCCATGAAGGCACCCTGGGAGAAGGCATCCGTTAAGTCGCTGTGTGCGGACACTGGGAGGGGGTGGGCTGCCTCTGAACCAGGAAGAGCATCAAGACTCCGTCTCTGATTCCCGGGTGCCAAGGACGGCAGGCTGTGCTGCACCTCTCCTGGATGCCTCACTAAACCCAGAGAGAAGGGAGGACCCTGGTGGGGGCCCACACACATTCAGAAGCCAGGGCAGAAGAAAACAAAGGGACCTCTTCAAAAGCAAACAAGTAAATAAATACAAAAGTAAGTAAAATAAGCCATTGAGTCAATTCCGACTCACAGTGCCCTGTACAGGCAGGGTTTCTGAGCTTGTACATCTTTAGAGGAGCCAACAGCCTTATCTTTCTCCTGCACAGCAGCTGGTGGGTTTGAACCACCGACCTTGTGGTTAGTGGTCAAGAACCCACTCAGATCTGTGAATTTCTTGGCGTCCTTCCACAGTGACCGGCTCCCGGGATACAGAGGGAAAGGGCCTCTGGGTAAGTGGTTGGCGCTGTGGAGGGCCTGGGCCCGGACGGAGGGAGAGGAAGGTGCCGTGGTGGGGGCGCTGCAGCCAGGCTCTAGCTTGCCATGCATGCTGCCTGCGGAAGGTGCGGTGGTGAGGATGCATGGGGTAGGGGGTGGGGTGGAGGTGGACAGATGGACACAGCTGTCGCTGTCCCAAGGCCAAAGGACGGGGAAACGGGCTTGGGTCAGGTCCAAGGGGACCTCCACACGACACCTTGTCAACGGACTTACAAGTGGAAACATGAACATGGACGGCTGAGGACAGCGTGTCCCCAGATGTGACGCAGACACACGCCCGCATAGCGTGTCCTGGGGCATCTCTTTCTGAAGATCTTTGTTACACAGAAACCCCCCACCCCTGCCCTGTCTCTCCACAGCAGCCCCACCCGCTGACCCTGCAGCCCAACCACCTTCCCAACCCCCAGCTCAGTCCCCAATGAAAAGTCCTAGCCCAGGGGCGCCACTCACCGAGTTTCAACAGCCAGCCTTCCCGGTCAGGGTTGAAGAAGGTGTGGGTGAGGTCATTGCCATCGTCTTCAGGGATCTTAAAGGGCTCGTTCTTTATGCTCTCATACAGGTTCTGGGGGAAAGAGGGCAGGGGGTCTGATTGCAGACTTAGCTCTTCTCCCCCCTGGCTCACACTTGGGCAATAGGAGGGCGCAGCAGTTCCAGATTCAATGTGACGGATGGTGTCTGAGCCTGCCTGGGAGTTTCCCAGTGAATCCACAGGAGGAACACCCCACCCCTGCTGGCAGTCCCCGCCCAAGGCAGCTCGGCTCACCCGCAGGAGCTCCTCGGGCAGGTCACCGCCGTCGTTGATGCCCCGGTTCATGGCTATGAACCGCTCCACGGTGGGCTTATCCTTGACGTTGGGGTTGTGCAGGCTGGTGTTGAGCATGATGATGGCGAAGGAGAGGACGTAGCAGGTGTCTGAAGAGAAGAGAGGAGGCTCGCTCAAGGCAGGGGGCCAGGGGCACACCCTGAGGGGAGGAGGGGGGGGGCAGGGTGGACAGTAACTGAGGACAGGCGCAGAGTGGAGGTACAGAGCGGCGTGTGCCGCGCACGCTGTGAATGCACACCAGCCCCTTTGGAAGAATGTCCGACGCTGCCAGCAGCATGGCATCGGGGGAGGGCACGCAGGGAGTGCCACAGCCCGTCTCTACACAAACCTCGCACAGTCTGTGGGTTTTGCAGCACGCAAGCCCTCGCACCCATCCTCCGCGCTACGTGTCTGCTCGTTAGGCACATGGGCTCATCACAAGAGAAACACAGTCGTCGGGTCTAATCCTCCACCACGAGAATGAACAGTCACTACAACCATAATGTCTGATGGCCTGGGAGCCGGCAGTCTGCCTAATAAGAAAATGAGAGTCTCCCTCCACGGTGGCCTTCCTCACAGACATGCCTGCCAGTATCTTCCTCACCCAGTGGTACCCACGGATCCCAAATGTGGCTCCCAGACACACACACGGTAGCAGGCCTACAGTGTGGACTTCCACTGACGACCATTTTCTTTTGCCATCAAAGATTTTTCCCCCTGATAAACGTGATTTGTAACAGTTGCTGTCTATTTATCTCATGATTCATAGATGTCACAATGAATATTTCTGTTCTCTCCTGTTGGACTTTCCTGCTCAGGCAAGGAACCTATCTGGGGCGGTGCCAGCGCACGTTACCTGTGGACTGGAAGACCCCGGGGTTGCACTGGCAGTAGCGCTGGGCGAAGGCCTCCATCATGCGGTCGATCTTCTGCGCCTCCCCCGGCAGCCGGAAGCTCCACAGGAACTGCCTGTGGGGGAGACAGGCGCGCTACGGCTTCAGACGTGGGTGTGCAACTTCAGTTATGTAGCGTCACACTTGAGGGGGGACCTGCTGGGCTGCCATCTTCTGTGGCGCTCAGAGCAGACCGCCCTTCCAGCCTCAGCACTCTTCTCGAAACAAAGGCCGAGTGGATGTGAAGGGGGTTCCAAATGGGAAGTAATCATCGACTCCCAAGGAGCATCTGCACAGATTCGGGCTTCCGGGCCAATGAATCACCATTCACTTCTTCTCACCAGCCCACCACTGTCAGCCATGGCCCACTAGATTGTGGGCTTTCAAGAAACCTCAAGATTCTAGAAATAACTCCCAAAGACACGATGGCAGCAAAGTGTCATTGTGCCTGGGGGTGATCACTCGTGTCATCCAACACCCGTCTCCCACACCGTCCCAGGTGCCTCCCGGGAGGCTACTCACCGTAAGGCCTGGACAAGGTTCAGGTCTGTGAACTCGTGCAGCCCCACAAAGGCGTGAAGCACTTGGATGTTGAACTCATCCCTATTGAGAGAAGCCCGAAGCCAGGAAGCCCAGGTCAGAGATCATACCCGGACCCTGAGAGGCACCCATCCCCTGTTCAGTCCTATGTCCAAACTCTGAGGTCCAGGTCCAGTGGGCTCAGGAAGGCTGACCACTGAGTCACCTGTCGGCCAGTCAGGCACCACAGAAGAAACCCATCTGAGTTTATGACCTGAACAAGCAGGGGCTGCTGTGGCCTCTGCATCTAACCACTAAAATCCTCCCTAAGAGAGTTCCCCTCCACGGCACCTTGGGATCATCTGGAGGGGGTGGGGTGGGGGGCAGTTTCTGTGTCTGCAGGTCCTGACGGCCTCACCTCTCCCCCAGGTAGTCACCGATGGCCGTCTTATTGAGCCCCTCGCCTTTACACAGGAACTGGGCGATGTCCTCACAGGTGTTCTTGAGCAGGTCGTTCTCCATCAGGAACTGGATCCCCTGGGGGTGGGGGGACACCAGAGACCCATGATGCCCAGGAGAAGCACTGGGGGGCAGGGGTGAACAGGTCGCTAGGGCTACTCCAGGTCAGGGGTTACTGTTGAGGAGCCCGGGTGTACAACTCGAGAGGACGGGGCCTTTGCGCGACATGACGGCTGTGTCCGCCGCTGAGCTACCAGTGCTCTCGGGGCGCCATGAAAACACACCACTCATTCCCATACCTTTTTGGGGTCCATGTTGAATTTTTTCCTGCCCATGGCTACCTGTTTGTTCCTCTGCATGTTTTTCCTGTAAAACAACCAACAGAGCCACCTTGGTTCTCCAGGTGAGGGAAACACTGAGAAACCAACGGCACCCCCACTCGCCTCCCAGGACTTGGCAGGACTGGGGCGGCTCTGCCCCATGAAGTGAGGGGCAGCTGCCCCACACCAGGTCAGTGGTTTTCTTTTGTAAATGATGGTGAAAACAAGCAGATCGTGTAAGGTGTAACTGACACACCACAATACACCCATGTTAATGCTCGTGAGAATGATTTTGATGATGATTTTAATAATCCCGTGTGGGAACGATTTCCTCGCCCAGTAAAATTCCTTACCACTGTCTACAGTTAGTTTCCATCCTAACATTCTGCTCAGCCAACCATGACCTCCTGTCTGGTCCTGGACACCACAGAATCACGCATGTCTCAGCACACACAGCACACAGTGGGGCCGCAGGCCTGTCTTCTGTCACTGTGTGGCAGTGTGTGTGCACCCAGGGGTGGGCCTGGTGGTTCAGTGGCTCTCATTCACGCACACACGTTCCTGGAGCTCACTGAGCCACAGCACATCCCCCCACCCTCCCAGCACCAGGCTGTGCAGGTGGGGTACCCCCTTCCTGTGCAGCATTGTTTCCTGGGTGACCTGTGTATTCCAAGTTTCTGCCTTTATTTTCATTCGGGTTGTCCTTGTATGTAAGGTCCCATGAGCTCTTTACACACCCAGGCAGAAGCCCGTCTTCAGACACACAGGGTGGAAACCCTTGCTCTTTACCTGTGGCCTCCCTCCATGCCCTTGTAACAGTATCTCATACTTTGATGGGACCTGGATGGGGCAGGTTTTTTTAAACGGGCAAGAGGGCAAGCTTTCATGCAGGCTAATGAGAGAGACTCAGTGACGTGCTGCTACTTTCCACAGGAGCTGACACCAGCCCCCTGAAGTCAAGCACCCCCACCCACCCGAGTTCAAAATCACAAAATCCAACAGCCTCGTGAAGCTAGCCGGGGAGCCTAAGGCTTAGGAAAACAGACACCCGTGGACTGCACACGGCCTGATGACTGCATTAAACTGTTAGAGAACGGTCTGGAGCCCCCATTCAAAACCAGACACTTAGAGACACTAATGTCTCATGTTGCCCAGAGACTCCTGTCCTCACTGTGCACCGCCCTCTCCCCTGCATTCCTGCCCCTGTGCCTCTGAGGCACCGACACGCATCTGACACTGCAGACAACGCTGGGCACGAGCTGCTGCGGACGGCTTTCACAGTCACTTGGGGAGGGCTGACTTGACACAGAGAAAACCAGAACCTCTGAAGCTTGGCCAAGCACAGCGGGCACCACAGGGCCAAGCAGAGGCGCTCTGGGTCCCAGGGGTGTCTGGCCGGGGGCTGGCAGTGTGGTTTGTGTTGTATTAGAGCTTAAATTCAGAACACCCAGTTCCCAAAGGCAGTAGATGGTAGTGACAGCCCCAAGTCCATTTGCAGAGTCTCCACATAGATCACTGATCACTAATCGATGATGTGGGTCATCTTGGCAGAGTGCCTGAGAGAGTGAATTACCTCTGTCCCTTCCCAGCCGGCCAAGAGAGGGGCGGTCTGTCTTTTATTGGCTTGGCTGGCCGTGTCACTGTAATGGAGACCGTTCAGGGGTCACAGTCATGAGGCATGCTTCTGTGAGTTTCCTTTGCTCTCCGAAACCCTTTATAAAGCTTTGTATCTCAACGAGCCTTTGGATGCCATTCAGACCTTGTAACAATGGCCTCCTCCATCAGGATGATGTGTCCATGCCTTTAGTGCTGTCTGTTTTTTTGTCTTAATAAACATTAGGGCACCGAGACACCACCGCCTCTAAGGCTGGCCAGCAGCTGAGCAGACTCACCTTTCTTCCGTGGACCCCAGGTTCTCGATTTCATTCGCTACTTCTGCTATCTCATCCTTCAGCCTCTACAAATGAAAGAGCCCAGGGTTAACGGTAGGAGGCAGCACTGGGCAAACCACGGGAAGGCACGTTCTGCATGCCCCCATGCCAACAAAAATACAACACATAATACAAATGCAATCAGACAGGCAATGTAATCTGAAACAACGATGAGCTCCCTGCCAGGATATCATTTGTTGTTGACAGGTGCCAAGTCAATGGGTATTGGCCCTGTGCAGGGCAGAAGGAAACACTGCACGTCCTGCACCATCCTTAAAATTGTTCCTGTGTTTGAGCACATTGCTGCGGCCCTCCTTGAGGGCCTTCCTCTTTGTCACCACCCCTCCACTTGACTGAGCATGATGTCCTCCTCCAGGGACTGGTCTCTCCTGACAACATGCCCAAAGTAGGTAAGATCAAATCTTGCTATCCTTGCCTCCACAGAGCAGTCTGGCTATACCTCTCCCAAGACAGGTCAGTTTGTCCTTCCAGCAGCCTGTGAGTCTTTCAATGTTCTCCTCCAGCACCGTTCAAATGCACGATTCTTCTTAGGTCTTCCTTGCTCGGTGTCTGACTTCCACACACATATGAGGCAATGGAAGACACCATGGCTTGGCTCAGGCACACCTTAGTCCTCAAAGTGACATCCTTGCTTTTCAATAGTCTTACAAAGGTCTGGTGCAGCAGATGTACCTAATGCAACACATCTTTTGATCTCTTGACTGCTGCTTCCAAAGCATTGACTGTGGATCCAAATCATTACAAGACAAAATCATTGACCACTTCAACCTCTTCTCCGTTTATCATGATGTTACCTGTTGGTCCAGGTGAGGAATTAGGTCTTCTTTCCAGTAAGGTGTAATCCATACTGAAGGCGGGAATCCTTGATCTTCATCAGCAAGGAACTCAAGCCCTCCTCACTTTCAGCAAGCAAGGTTGTGTCATCTGTGTATCGGAGGCTGGTAAGCCTTCCTCCAACCCTGATGCCACACTCCTCTTCATGTAAAGCAGCTTCTCTGAGGATTTACTCAGCACACAGACTGAAGAAGTACGGTGAGGGGATACAACCCTGACACACACCTTTCCTGACTGAAAACCATGCAGTGTTCCCTTGTTTGTACAACTGTCTCTGGGTCCATGTACTAGTTCCTCATGAGCACCAGGAAGTGTTCTGGAATTCCCATTCTTCTCCAGGTTATCCATGGTTGATCGGGGTCCACACAGTCGAATGCCTTTGCAGAGTCAATGAAACACAAGTAAACATCTCTCTGATATCCTCTGCTCTGAATCACGATCCACCTCACATCGGCAACAATGTCCCTTGTTCCACCTCCTCTTCTGAATCCAGGCTGAACTTGGGGCAGCTCTCTGTCAGTGTCCCACTGCCACCATCCTGGGTGATCATCAGCCGATTGTACGTGTGCGTGCTGTCCATGAAACTACTGTTGGTGGCTTGGGCATTCTGTTGGGTCACCTTTCTAATGGGCACAAATGTACATCTCTTCCAGTCAGCTGGCCAAGGAGCCATCTACATTTCCTGGCGCAGATGAGTGTTTCCAGTGTGTCATCAGCTAACGGAAACACTTCAACAGGTAGTCCATCGCTCCTGGAGCCTTATTTTCAGCTGAGGCTTTCAGTGCTGCTTGAACTTCTCCCTTCAGCACACTGGATCTAGCTCATCTACTACCTCCTGAAATGGTGGGCTGTGGACAAGTTCTCTTTGGAACGGGGACTCTGTGTGACAATTAGGCAGGAGGGAGGACATAGGTGACAGGGCCTAGCACCTGACCCAGTCACAGAGTTCATGGTCGCGGACAGGAGTGAACCACCAGGTACAGACAGTGTGTAAATGGCTGGTCCCGGAGGACATGTGCAGCAGAGGGTCAGCACACATAAGGAAGACCCCGACAGGATGGACTGAGACAGC